TTACGGGAGTAGAAAGCCTCATCTTTCTCCCGCGGAGCGGCTGGTAGTTTCGAACCGCTGACCTTAAGGTTCGCAGCCTGATTCATAACCACTACGCTACCAGAGCTCCTTACAAGTACCCTAGGGGGGAAAAATTACATTATAGGCTATAATTATTGAAAGACTGTACTCAAAAGCTATATGTTGATTGGCTATGTTTTGAAGAATAGCAAGTGCATCTCAACTAAAGTCTTCTGAGGAAAAGCCCTCAATTCATGTTGCTGTTGTTAGCCATCAAGTTAGCCCTAATTGTGACAAGCTTATGTGGAATGAAATGAAATGATGCCTGATCTTGCACCATTTTCATGAAAGTTGGCATGTTTGAATCCATTGCTATTGTATCAGTCCATCTCATTAGGGGACTTTGACTCATTTGGACATGTCATCAGAAAAAACCAATCACTATAAAAGGACATCATGTTTTACAAAGGTGATAGTTACGGTTTTGTGTCAATGACATTGGGCCTGGATTCTCAGTGGTTTGGCATTAAGAGGTGGTAACCTCCCACGATAAGATCTAATATAATGTAATCGGCTGGGCCTTGATTCTCAGTGGTTTAGCACCCCCAGGATAAGAGCTAATATAGTATATAATTATATTATCCTGTGAAAATCCTCACTTCTATGATGCTAATGGAGGAAGACTCATTAACAACCTGAAATATGCAGATGATACATTCTTGCTTGCTGAAAATGAAGAGGACTTAAAATACTAATGAGGATCAAAGACCACAGCCTTCAATATGGATTGCACCTCAATGCAAAGAAAACAAAAATTCTCACCGCAGGACTAATAAATAGCATCATGATAAATGGAGAAAAGACTGAAGTTGTCAAAGACTTCATTTGGCTTGGATCCACTATGAACATTCATGGAAGCAGCAGCCAAGAAATCAAACAAAGTATTGCATTAGGCAAATCTGCTGCATAAGACCTTTAAGTGTTCAAGAACAAAGATATCAATTTAAGGATTAAGATTCATCTCACCTAAGCTATGGTATTTTCCAGTAGTCTCATATGCATGTGAAAGTTGGACAATAAGGAAGACTGCAGAATGGATGCATTTGAGTTATGGTGTTGGAAAAGAATATTAAAAGGATCATGGACTGCAAGAAGAATAAACAAATCTGTGTTGGAAGAAGTACAGCCAAAATGCTCCTTAGAAGTGAGGATGGTGAGACTTTGTCTGTCATGTTTGAAAACTTCGGACATGTTTTCAAAAAGGCTCAGTCCCTGGAGAAGGACACTACGCTTAGGCAGTCAACAGAAAAGAGGAAGACCCCCAACGAGATGGATTGGCACAGTGCCAGCAGCAATAGGCTTAAGACTAACAATGATTGTTCTGTTGTGCATAGGATCACTATGAATTGGAATTGACTGGATGGCATCTAACTACAACAACACTGATGTTTATGAGATTGGATACAATCTATCGGATTAGGCTGTAATTTGAGAGTCAATCTCTTTGGAGATATAAAAGAGTTTAAAAAGACAAACAGAGCTTAGAGGGACGTACTACCAAGAAGCAATAAGAGATAGGAGTTGAATGTGTCCTTTGGACCTGGGGTTTCTGTACTACGAAGCTTCTAGATCCAGGGAAAGACTGATGCCAAGGTATGTGGCTATCTCCCAGGAACGCTGTATGTACAGGTTCTGAAAGGAGACAAGGCTCTATCTCCAGAGTCGGTGCTCTGAATTTAGACTTCTAGCTTCCTTAATTGTGAGAGAAATTTCTGTTTGTTAAAGCCATCCACTTATATTTCTGTTATAACAGCACTACATAATTAAGATAGCAAAGAAGAGGGCCAAAGAAAATGAGGGAAGCTCACTTGAAAACATATGCAACTTAAAAATCAAATCAGCAGTACTTGCCTCTTTTTCAGCTTCTTTAAAAGCGGCTTCTTTTTCCTTTACCCGCTGCATAAATCTCTGTTTCAATTGCTCTTCTTCCCTCTGACATTGCTCTGAAAACTCTTTCCTCTTGGCTTCATAGATCTCTTGAAAACTAAAAGAAGGTTTTTATTACTCTCAGCATAGTGGTTACGAATTGGGCTGCGAACCACAAGGTCAGCAGTTCGGAACTACCAGCGGTTCCGCGGGAGAAAGATGAGGTTATCTGCTCCCGTAAAGATTTACAGCCTCGGAAACCCTGTACAGGGTATCTATGGGTTGGAACCGACTCAACGGCACTTAACATCAACAGCATCTTAAAATTCTAATAAACATGCACAACTACATATATAAGGTCTATTAAGTCTTATATAAAAATATTTATGAATATCTGTCATGTACAACAACAAAATATATGGAATTTTCGCTATCATGAGAAGTAAAAAGCAAGGTGTTGTATTTAAAGTAATAGTGTATATGTTGTTAGGTGCTATCAGTAATGATTTAAACTTTCAGCTACTCCATATGACAAAATAGAACTGTTCAGAGGGTTTTCGAGGCTATAATCTTTATGGAAAGGAGCTCTGGTAGCATAGTGGTTACGAGTCGGGCCGCCAACCTCAAGGTCAGCAGTTCGAAACTACCAGCAGTTCCCCAGAAGAAAGATGAGGCTTTCTGTTCCCGTAAAGATTTACAGCCTCGGAAACCCTTTGCAGGGTCATTATGAGTTGGAACCAACTCCACAGTACTTAACAACAACAATCTTTATGGAAGCTAGTTGTGTGTCAATTTGGCTGGGCCACAATTCTCAGTGATTTGAATTTATGATGTAGTCATCCCCTAAAATGAGATCTGATACAATGTAATCTCTTCTTTTATTAACTCTGCTATGAACAGTCAATCAATTACAAGAATATTCCCTCAGGGGTGTGGCCTGCTTCCAATATATATGTTGTTGTTGTTATGTGCCATCGAGTCGGTTCTGACCCATAGCGACCCTGTATAGGGTTTCCGAGGGTGTAAATCTTTACAGGAGTAGAAAGCTTCATCTTTCTCCCGCGGAGCAGCTGGTAGTTTCGAACCGCTGACCTTAAGGTTCGCAGCCCGATTCGTAACCACTACGCTAAGTTGTATATATAAGCAGTCAGGCACCATAGAGGTTTTTGAGACAGAAAGAAGCAGGAAGTAGAAAGAAGAAAGAAGAGAGAAGCAGAGAGAAA